ATTATTCTTATTAATTCCCTTATCAATTCATTTCTATCATATTTAGAGTTAGTTAAATTCAAGTATACTTCACTTTGATTTTCTCAAAAACGAAGCTTCAAATCAAAAAATTTTATTCTGTATTTTTTTTTTTTTTTAATTTTTTCACGGAACATGCCTGCTTTTGTATATTATTCGGTTGAATTCTGTATATATATATATGTATATAAATTTATATTAGATTGCGGATCATTGCAATTTGTAAATACGGTTAAAGATGCAGAAATTTCCACAACTAAATGTTGCGACAAGTATACATTTCTACATATTATTTGCATCTTTGTGTCCATAAATTTCCCATAAATGCACGACAATCTACAATCCAGTATTAACAATAACATTTTAAAAAAATTCTGTTATCTACGATTATTGACTAAATTAACCAAAACTGCATCCTACCGGAAATAACCAACTGTTTGTCCAATCTCGAACGATAACATTCACGTCCGATTTCCGTTCGCTAATCCCGAGTCTACGTTCGCAACCGGGAATTTAAAGACTGGAGTTTATCTGAATCTCGGATACGAGTGAGTAGAAATACGTAGCCTGAAATATGTAACCGTTCGTCACATGTACCTGCTGCGCTTCTTAATCCCTGTCACGAACCCGAACTTGATATCACATCGTAACGTCGCGACAAGGACAAGCAAAAACACGAAAATTAACAGAAGAAGCACGCACAGCAGCCAATTAAACAAGGAAATCCGCGGAAGTGCGCTCGTTCCTGCAGCAAGCAGGTTTTCTTTCCTCTATCATTTCGGCTGGCACTTTTCAAGAGTCGTACACGGAGGGGAGATATTCGCGAGTTGCGAGCCGGGCTTTAATTTATCGCGGCATTACCGGGGCATCAGAATTTCCGCTGGATTTTCGGGCGATCTTACCGTTTCCATTGCTGGCGAGCGAGGGTGAAGGGGAAGAGTTTTACACGGCCGGATGACGGTATTATCTTTCGCCGTGGCGTTGCTGTTAATTTAAAATTACCGAGAGAGAGAGAAGAGAGAGAGAGAGAGAGAGAGAGAGAGAGAGAGAGAGAGAGAGAGAGCATTGAGATCACAGCGCGAAATAACGAGCGACCGGTAATTTGAGAGCCGTTAATAGGAAGCGTCGCGTCGTTAATTTACTGTTTCATTTATTTCCTCTGTCCCGTTCAATTATAATTATCACTTTATTTATTCGCCGGAGTTTGTCTTTGCTTCTGTAATTGGCTCTCTTTCGATCGTGTTTACCGATCGGTATCTCGAAACCAATACCGCACACGTGCGACGCACACGTCGTTGATTAACCACTTGCGCCAGGCAACTGGTTGCGCGGACCATAACGAGTGACCGAACCGTATATACAATAATTCGTCGCTTTCTTTTTCTTTTTCTTTCGAACTCGTCGATACGACGAGTAATAAACTTATCATTTGTTTCGCCTGGGATACATTTAAATATACATAAACCTGAGAAAATATACTTAAAAGTATATTATACTTAAGTATACTCAAGTATTAAATGAGAAAATGTTGCAATTTGGGGCAAAAAATTTTCGACATGCGTAGCACGTCATTCCAGCGAAAAAGGTTAATATGTTCGATCGATCCACAGTCACGAACAAAGTTTCGTATTTGAAGGGAATTTTTAATAATTAAAATTTTTATCGAGATATTTTTGTACAAATACGTCAAAAAAATGACAAATTAGAAATTTGATCTATTTCTGTTTTCATTATCGTAAACAAACATTTTCGAAAGAATACTAACAATTCTATCAACAACTAACAATAAATAAATGTCCCAGAAAATTAATTATTCCTATTTCCAGAAAATTCCAAGAAATTTTCGAGTTATTAAATTACAAAATGAATCAGAAGTAAATCATTTGTTTTGCTCCTTTTTTACTTTATTGCAATCTTAAGATATTCTAAAATATAATTTCGTAAATAGCTTTCAATTTTCATTGAAATTAAATTGGATTAAATTAATTGTAAAATGTATAATAATTCCTTTCTCGTATAAGCATACTTTCTATAGACAGTTAACAAGCTGGGAATGCCATTCAAGCCACACAATTAATTATTTGAAGATCTTGTAATTACAGTAATTAAATGGAAATAAGATACAAACATTCTCGTTCCGGAACGAGTTATAAATTGGAAACACCTTCAAATCACAAATAGTATATTGTTACAATAAAAATGGTAATAATTGAGATTGCTCATTGTACATTGTTATGACATTGATTAAAAATATATCAATCATATATATATTAATATATTATATAATATACATAATATATAGATATATATTATTGATTAACAGTAATAATTAATTACGAGATAGCTAGGTTTTTGTACAGGTTTGATCATTATGATGATTGGAATAATTAATACAGAGCGCGTCGAAATAACATATATACAAACGAGCATACAAAAAAATAAGAAAAAAGTATAGAAATTTACTTTCTACAGAAGCTTCGTTTCTTCAAATTAACTTTGATTTTGACAGAACAAAGAATAATTAACAGGAGGTTCCTACATGAAAAAAATAAGTAAAAAACTTTTATAGGACTTTAATACGAATAAGACTTTACGACTTACGACGATACGAATAGGACATTAAAATTCTAATAAAAATAAAACTTTTTCATTTTCAAAAAAATAAACTTTGAACACAGCTTCGTCACAATCGATAAATTTTCAAACTCGATTTTCACGAAACTAAAGCTCCTTGCACGAAATTTTAATGTACATTTTTTTGATTTATTTTTGCGAAATAATCTTCCATTAATTATTCATTTCCGTCATGTCTGGAAATTACCTAAATTCAAACTCGATTTTCTCGAAAGCAAAAAATAAAAGAATTTTATTCTACATTTCTTCTCATTTCTTTGTCCAATTTAATATTTATAATATAAAAATGATCGCCATCAGCCTAATAAAAACCATTATCTCGATTTTCAAGAGCCTCTTGGCAAATGACACGAAAAAAACGAAGTCGACAATGTCCCGTTATTACCGAAGAAGTGGGAACCTATTTTATAACGTGTTTCTCCTTTCTTCATTCATGCCTTCATTCCTCCTCTTGCTTAATCACGGTGCATTAAGCACTTCATTAAGTCGAACCAACTGAAGTAGAACACACTCGAAAAAAAGCTTTCACGAATTGAAGGAAGATAGAAACGGTCGTTTAATTTCCTTTCAGAAACTCATTCGAAACGAAAGCTTCGCGGTTCATTTCATTCTTTAATCAGACATCTTCCCCTGGCTCGGCTTCAATTTACAAGACACTATTATTTCTCCTCCACGTAATTCCTTTTGTTCACTATGAATGACAAAAATCGCGATGGTGGTAGTGCGACTGCAGATTAATAAACTTTAATGACGAATTCTCAATAGTCGCAGCTTGCCAAGCACTTGCTGTTCTATTCGTCTGTTTTTCTTTTCATCTAGTTTTGTTTTTTACAGCATTTTATACTAACAATATACTATACAAATATACTATACAATAGTAAGAAATAAATATTTAATGGGACATTTGAAATAATAGTAACGTAGTAACGTAGTATGATGTATTTCATTGAGATAAATTTGTTTTAAGAAAGAAAGTAGTAGGTACTTTTATCGCTTTTCAATATAAATCTTATATATTATATTCTAAAACAAAAAAAAACATTATTTTAACTCAAAAGATAGTATTTAATAGTTGATATTTTACTTCATGTTAGAAATAATAATAATAATACATAATATTACATAATATTAGTATTCAACATTGTTTTAACTCAAAAAATAGTATTTAATAGTTGATATTTTATTTCATGTTAGAAATAATAATACAAGTTTGTTGTTAACGAATAAACATATTCCTCTGTTTTCAAATAATTCATCCAAAATTTCTATTCCTGATTCTAATGAAATTTACTACAAAAATTATATTACAATTCCAATAATTTTATTGATCTTTGAAACGAAGATGACAAGTCTCGCTTATATAAGTCCTTTGTTTCAAATTCACCTTGAACTCTCAAAACAACATAATATTTAATGTTTAATCAACATTTATATTTTATAGTATTTAATTATTATGTATATCTAGAAATTTATCAAACACAAAATATTTCCCATATTTTCCTAATTAGCACAGTTAACAAAAATTAATTACACACAGCAAATATAGGGAATATAGCAAAATGGAATATGTTCATTTTAATATCAGAACCTCTTGTATTAAACTTTTTAGAAAACAACCCGATTCAATAAATAGTTTTCAAGATAAAAGTTCTGAAATAATTTATAGACAAGATAACAAGGTCACTTTAATGAAAATAGATAAAAATTAAAACTTTATATTATTATTTATATTATTTAAAAAAAGTTTAAAATTAGTCAAACGATGACTCAAATCTGCCCTGATATCATAATTTACTTTAAAAAAAGTTCTTGGTATCGGCATTAGTGGTCAATTTGGTGTGAAATAATCTATATACTAATTTCACTAATTTTTTAATTCCTTTTATAAGAAATAACGAGAACTTCAATATATATAAACCTACATAATCTCTGTGAAACTTCCAATTATCATTCAACTTAAGTTTTCACTCTTCGTTACTTACAATCTTCTCACACTGTGAAAGTAATTAGACACTTCTCCAATGCACAGAAGACAAGTTAATTAGTCACAAACCTTTACAAATTTTCCAATTTTCTAATTGCGAGTCAACTCGCTTTTCCCAGTCACAGAGACTGATGACAAATACGCCACGAAAATTTAGCGATTCTTGTAAGTTCGATTCTCAAACGTGAAACAATTCAAAGAAAAACAGTTCCACGAAGTTTGAAGTTACATGTAACCAATCCCTCCTACTTTCTCGGCGATAATGCGAATAAGAACGGCCGAAATTTCGCGCCAAGAAACAGACCAGACACAGACGCTCATGACGCAAAAAAGATGGAATTATCACACGGGGAAATGTACTCACTTGGATCCTTGACGGCGGTGATAACGAGACGGAAGCCGTTCGAGATGGTGCCCCACGAGTCGGTGACGTATTTCAGTGTCACGAAGTTCGTGCGCGTATAAATCGCGCCCACAGCCTGCTTCGTGTTCTGGCAGGACAGGTCTGCCTAGAAAACAAAAGAAACGGCACACGTTGAATGCGACAGTATTCCACCACACACGTATGTACATACATACGTATAAACATACACGAGCGAGGAAGAGGAGCAACGTTTCTCATTCCACGGTTGTTAGACAACGCGTCGCAACGTGACAAATCGGCTCGAAGCTGTCGCGTTCGTGCGAACCCGAGGACAATCGCGAGGTTATCGCGAGTCGAGAGAAGAATCGTTTCCATTCGTTGGAACGTGTTGCAGCTTGTTACAGCGGAGCCCTATTTGTTCGGACAAACATCGTCCAAAACGGCCAATTTGCCCGAACTCGTTTTGCCAACGTTCTTATTACACGAGACACGTAATTAGAACAAGGTGAATTTCGAGTCTTTTCCCAAACTGGTTTTTTATAATTTTTATTATCGTTATTATTTTTAATACAGAGATTCGATTTTTGTTACTATTAGTGTAATTGTCATTTTTAGTTTTTATTGTATTATTATTAATAATATATAATAATAATGTAATTTTATTATTATTGGTGTCATTATTATTATTTTTAATTTTTATTATATTATTATTAATATATAATAATAATGTAATTTTATTACTATTAGTATCACTATTATTATTTTTAGTTTTTATTATATTATTATTAATATATAATAATGTAATTTTATTACTATTAGTATCATTATTATTTTCAATTTTTATTATATAATTTTTATTATTAATATATAATAATAAAGTAATTTTATTGCTATTAGTGTCATTATTATTATTTTTATTATATTATTATTAATATGTAATAATAAAGTAATTTTATTACTATTAGTATCATTATTATTATTTTTAGTTTTTATTATTAATATATTATAATAATGTAATATTATTATTAATATTATTATTAATATATAATAATAATGTAATTTTATTACTATTAGTATCATTATTATTATTCCCAATTTTTATTATATAATTTTTATTATTAATATATAATAATAATGTAATTTTATTACTATTAGTGCCATTATTATTATTTTTAATTTTTATTATATTATTATTAATATATAATAATAAAGTAATTTTATTACTATTAGTATCATTATTATTATTTTTAATTTTTACTTTTATAATATATACAATATATATTTAAATATTTATTTATAAATACTATATTTATTATATAATAACATGTAATAATAATTTATATAATTTATAATAAGAATATAATGATTTACTGTAATGTCAATTATAAACGAACTGTTGAATTTCCAAATACCATTGAATGACGTATTACTTACAAATTCTATATATTTCACGAGTATACTCGCATATTTACATATTTTGTGAACATAAATTTCTCTGTATATTTTACATCTATAAATATCCTCAGTGTAGTTATCGTAAAAATACTGCAGACACAGTGCTTGAACAATTATAAAAATTTTACTCGCTTATCAAAAATTTACTTCGTAATTTCGCTAACAAAAAAGAATTATGTTGCTCTTCTTGAATCATGTGACACTGTATTCTATAAATATCTCTTACAATGAATTTTATCCTAGAATGAACAATACAACGAATACAGCTACAGCGTTTCTCATTAAATACTTACATACATCGAACAAATATAATATTATCATATTACACGACGAAATATAATTTGAAAATTTATAAATTTTCGTACGTCTTGCAATAGATAAAATTCAAATAAAATTCAATTAATAAATTAATAATTATTAAATTAAATTAGTAAATTTAATTTATAATATCTACGTATAACTGCATGTTCACATTTCACATTTTTCATATTAACAGAATGAATGAATCATATATTTATTATAACAAATGAATGTTATAACGAACAAAGTTCCAGAACGAATTATAAAATAATAAATTGCAGAATATCTCATTGTATATATCCATATGTAATATGAGAAATTTTTTCATTCGTTTCTCAAATTTAAGAAATTTGTTAACAATAACAGGAATAGGATCAGCTTTGAAGAATTCAAAAGACTTTAATTAATATTATATTTTATTATTATTATGCTTCAATTAATCTTCAATAAATTTTGGCAAGTTGAAATAATTCTCTAATTCCAACGATTCATAGTGATCATAGTGATCAGTTAATATTTTTCATCAACGATTAATGATAAATAATTAACATTTATAATAATTTGGTCACAATTTTTATTGATGCTGCCAATCAATGAAATGAGAATTTTTTTCATTCGTTTCTCAAATTTAAAAAATTTGTTAACAATAACAGAAATAGGCTTTGAAGAATTGAAAAGATAGTTAATATTATATTTTATTATTATTATACTTCAATCAAACTTCAATAAATTTTGACAAGTTGAAATAATTATATAATTCTCCAATAACGATTCATAGTAATCAGTTAATATTTTCCATCAACGATTAATGATAAATAATTAACATTTTATCACAATTTTTATTGATGCTAAGCATCCAATCAACCAATCAATGAAATAGAAATTCTTTCATTCATTCCTCAGATTTAAAAAATTTATTAACAGAAATAGGATCAGCTTTGAAGAATTGAAAAGATAGTTAATATTATATTTTATTATTATTATACTTCAATTAAACTTCAATAAATTTTGACAAGTTGAAATAATTATAATTCTACAATAACAATTCATAGTGGTCAGTTAATATTTTCCATCAACGATTAATGACAAATATTTAACATTTATAATAATTTTATCACAATTTTTACTGATGCTAAACATTCAATTAACGTATCGATGAAATGAGAAATTTTTATTGATTGATAAAAATTCAACTCCCGCAACTCCAGTAACAAAAACGACAAGTAACTAACCAGTTGGACAAACTTGTCACCAACAGCATCTAACGTCAATGTTATTTAATTGCTGAATACAGTCCGAGGTTCTAATCCGCTTACGATGCGTTAAACCGGAACTCCAAGTAAACTTCACGTGGGGCAAAATTTCTTAAATGGCCTCGTAATCTTTAATCCGCTTCAAATGCATCGCAACGAAATTTCTTAAAGCGTTGCATAAACCAAACTACGCGAGTAAGGAGATAAGCGCCCAACTCGCCGACTGCAACTTCACTTTCAGCGTGAGTTTCAGTTGGTGAAGTTAGTGAACTTTCAACACGTCTATCGTACGTTTTTACGTTTACACTTTTACATGAATTGGAAGATAAATTTTGTATTTACTGTTCCCATTGTTTCACACGGCGTGAAATATCTAGAGAACAAACTCTAATAATTATACAGAAGTATGCTTATTATTATTGTATACTTATTGAATTGTGTGATGAGTAAAATTGGTTCAAGGACTTTTTCTGTTTTTGATCACTGATTGTTGATGAAAAGTGATAGTGCTTATACTATGTTATTATACTGAATTATACTGAATGTATCATACTGAATTCATTTTTTCTTCTTGACAAACACTTTTGGTGATGGAAAATCAAAAAGAGATCCTTAGTTCTTCGCTTTTTGAAAGAAATAACTATAATACAAGTGATTATATCTAAAAATGTATTTAGGGAAGAGTTTTCCAAAGCAAAGAAGTTTCAAACAATCTGCAAGCGTAAAAATTTGACTGAGAAATTATGATGAATCTCATTCCCCAGATTTGGCACTGATGGATTATCATTTTGAGCACTGAACTGAAGTGAAAATGAAGAACGTGTGTGTTCCATCCAAAATATGCTAATGGATTTATTGAAATTTCTTAACAGACACATGACTACACTCTTTAAATTTCACGTCTTGCTATACTATTCATCAGATAGCTCAGATCTCTGCTTAATCGTGAGGATAAGTTTCTGTCAACTAGGTAAGCGCTGACGACCGTCTTTAATGGAAAACGCGTTTACACATACACAATGAACGATCATTTTAATAAACAACTTGCCGTAAGCTCTTAAGACATGGCAGTAAGCTCGAACGTAAAAATGGATCTTCAAAAAGTTTGAATCTAATTTCAATAGTACGTAAACATGGTCAGTCGTTCAAAACTATTGGTTGTATCAAAAAATGTTTTAAACAAATTTTGTTGTATTTCAAGAGATTTGTTGGATAAACGCAGTTAAATTTTTCTTTTATAATATATTTTCGAAGATAATTTCTATTTTTTTTATATAATATATTATTATATAAAAATATTAATATAATAATATATATATTATTTTTATATTAATATAAAATTTTATATTTATATTTAATTTAAAATTATTTTTATATATACATATATATTATATTTATACTAATATAAAAATATAAATATAATAATATATATAATATTATTATACTTTTTATACATTTTTTATGTAATATATTTTATATAATACATATTTCGGACACGTGTGTCCCAATGAGATTTATATTATGCATCATTATCTGTATGTTTGTCTAGACAGTATTGAAAATTTCACAACTGTTACACAGTATTTGTATTATAATAAACAACTCACACAGTAATAATCAAATCAGTTTTTTAAATCTCAAATAAATAATATTTTTTGTTACACACAGAGTCATTTTTATATTTTTTTGAAATAAACACGGCTCGCTTAATTTTTTAAAACATTTTGTTAATTTAACATTTTCTTCTAGTAAAAATCATGCGATTTTTCTCTCTGTCATCGTTTGCCGAACGATTTACGACTTTTTTCTGCAAGAGCACATTTAACGATAATTAATGTCCTTCGAGTATTGTATTTCAACTAAAAATTTAATCCGAAAACGAAACAAAACGTAGTGGGATTAATTGACGACGCAAAGAATATAGTTTCAAATTTTGTTCTGCGTTATAACAGTTTACACTGTCTCCAACAATAAATCTTTTCTCTTCGCTGAGAAAATAGAGGAAATTAAATCAGAAACATACACGTAAATAAATTTCACGCGAGCGTGTTTTTTTAAAATCGTTTATACGGGCGCGAGTAAGCTGGAAACGCGTTTTAAATCCGCGCCATTCGACAAATCGGAAAAAGGATCTCGC